TAATGATCTAATGAAATCTGTAAATGAAATAACTTCAACATATTACAATAGTTAATAATAATTGTAATGATATCTTGTTCTCTAAAGTTTTATTGTCTTTTTATATTATACTTTTATACCCTGGAAACAGGTGAAACAAACTATTTTTCAACTAAAATAAAATAATCTTTATCAGCTGGTTTATTGATGAGTATGAAAAGTCACATGTCAACTGACATATCTTGATTAACAAGAATAAAACTATGAACATCATATTATTATTATTATTATTATTAGTCCCTTGGGTTCCGAGTGGAACATAGGGCTTCAGTAGCACGCCTCCAGTGACCTCTGTTCTCTGAGATCTTTTGAACCTGGTTCCACGACAGCCCAGAAGCTCTCATTTCCTCCTCGCATGACCTCCTCCATGTCACCCTCGGACGTCCAACTCGTCGCTTCCCATAGGGATTCCACTCGAGGGCCTGACGCGTGATGTCCTCAGTCGGCCTTCTCAGTGCATGCCCAATCCATCTCCACTTCTTCCTGCATATTTGTTGCGTGATAGGTTCTTGGTTGCTTCGTTCCCAGAGTTCCTTGTTGCTTATTTTTTCTGGCCATCTGATCTTCAGCAACGAGCGTAAGCAGTTGTTGATGAATGTCTGTAGTTTATTGGAAATACCTTTCGTGGCGCGCCAAGTCTCTGAGCCATACAAGAGCACTGACTTGACGTTGGTGTTGAAAATCCGTATCTTGTTCCGCATGCTGAGTGCAGAAGATCTCCACACTGGTTTCAGGCTAATGAACGCCTGTCTTGCTTTTCCGATTCTGACTTTGACGTCCTCGTCCGTCCCGCCTGTAGTTGAAACAGTGCTTCCTAGATAAGTGAAGGAGGTTACTTCCTTCAAGTTTCTCCCGTTGACGGTGATTGGAGTTTGTTGTTGTTGTTGATGGTGGTGGTGCGGTATCTTCATCACTTCTGTCTTCTCTATATTCACCTGAAGTCCCGTCTTAGCTGCCTCTTCTGTCAACTTGTTAGTTTTTGCCTGCAGATCTTCAAGTTTATGTGACATTAGGCATAAGTCATCGGCGAAATCCAAGTCTTCTAGGTTCTTTTCCGTCGTCCAGTGTATCCCCCTCTTCTCGCTGCCTACTGTTTGCTGCATGATCCAGTCCACCACAATAAAAAATATCATGGGGGATAGTAGGCAACCTTGTTTCACTCCTGTCTTCACTTCAAAGGCATCACTGAGCTTCCCATTGTGGATTACTTGGCATGTGGCATCTTCATATAGTTGTTGAATGAGGCGGATAAAGGTTTGCGGTACTCCGTAGTATTGAAGCAGTTTCCAAATTACTTCTCGGTCGACGCTGTCAAAGGCCTTCTCAAAGTCGATGAAGTTGAGGTATAGAGCTGATTGCCATTCTACGCTCTGTTCTATGATGATACGAAGCGTTGCAATTTGGTCAGCACATGATTTGTACTTCCTGAAGCCTGCCTGTTCCGGTCGCAGTTTTGAATCCAGTGCGTCTTTAAGCCTCTCCAGGATGATGCGGCTTAATATTTTACTTGGGGTGGACAGGAGAGTGATTCCGCGCCAGTTCTTGCAAGCACTGAGGTCTCCCTTCTTCGGCAGTTTGACAAGGTAACCCTTCTTCCAATCGTCAGGTACCTTCTCTTCCTTCCACACCTTCTGCAATAGTGGTGTGAGCATGTCCGCTGTTGTCTCTGCATCTGTTCTCAGTGCTTCTGGCGGTATTCCATCTGGTCCTGCTGCTTTCCCACCTTTCAGTAGCTTTATGGCGTTCAGGACTTCCATTTTCGTTGGGGGATTTATGTTCACTTGTAATTCAGCGGCTGCAGGTGGTATTTCTGGACGAAGTGCAGGTGGTGGTCGATTCAAGAGCTTCTTGAAGTGGTCGGCCCATCGTTTCCTCTGTTTCTCTTCTTTTGTAATTAAATTTCCTTCTTCATCTTTTATTGGTTTCATCTGTGTTGGTCTCTTCCCTGATAGCAACCTGGTTATTTGATACAATGTCGTCAGGTCTCTCTTACCTGCAGCCTGTTCTGCTTCACTTGCCAGTGTGTCGTAGAAGTGTCTTTTGTCTTTGCGTGCACTCTTCTTCACTTCTTTGTCCAGTGTTTTATACATTGTGCTCAGTTCCTCTTGTCGTTGAGCATCCTTGCACTGGTTTATCTTCTGCTTCACCATCCTCCTCTCCTCTATCAGCTTCCAGGTATCCGTCGAGATCCATTCCTTGTCTTCTTTCTTCTTCCTTCCTAATACGGCTGTGCAGGTTTCTTTCCACACAGCTTTCAAAGACTTCCAGTGTTCTTCCACACAGGTTTCTTCAGGGATGTCCCTCGACGTCTCCCATTTTGTCTTGATGGCTGCTTTGAAGATCTCCTTTGTAGTTTCATCCTTCAGTTTCCGAGTGTTGTACTTGAATTGAGGTCTATCACCAGCTTCCTTGAAGGCTTTTAACTTGATTTGGAAGGTTCCTTGCACTAGATAGTGGTCTGAACCTACATCTGCTCCTCTTCTTGACCTTGTGTTAAGTAGACTGCGTCTCCATTTTCTTGAGATTGAGATAAAGTCGATTTGATTTTTAGTGTGTCCATCTGGTGAAATCCATGTCGCTTTGTGGATATCCTTGTGCCTGAACACACTGCCTCCAATCACCAAATCGTTGAATGCACAGAATTCTGCAAACAATTCTCCATTCTCATTCATTTCACCTAGCGCCTCTCGACCCATGGTTAGTTCTCTTCCCGTATTGTCCCCTCCCAGTTTGGCATTCATGTCGCCCATTAGAATTTTGATATCGCCAACTGACGTCTTGTCCAGTGTTGATTGAAGTTGTCTGTAGAAATCCTCCTTTTTCTCTTGCTCTGCATTATTTGTAGGTGCATAACATTGTATGATTGTGACCTTTCTTCCTTTTGAGTTGAATCTTGCTGTCATGATCCTGGAGGAGATTGGTTCCCACTGCATGAGAGCCTTCGATGCTCTTGAGGACATCATGATAGCCACTCCCTCAGTGTGCTCGTGGTTGGCGTCTGGGTGACCGGAGTAGATTATTGATTCTCCAGTTGACAGTTTGGAGAGTCCACTCCCATTCCATCTGCTTTCGCAAATCCCAAGCACTTCGATGTTATACCTTCTCATCTCCTTTGCAATCTGGGCTGCCTTACTGGGTTCAAACATCGTGCGGACATTCCATGTCCCCACGTTTACTTTCGCTTTCATCGAGAGAAGACACATCGGCCAATTGGCTTCCCGAAGGCTTTCACCAACTGGCGTCATTTCGCCTCTCCGATTCCAGCGGGGTATAAGTTTGTTTTCATTTTTTATATTTTGTTTGTGCTTTGAAGTTTCTTTAGCGGTTAGATTTGTTTTACGGGGTAGGGTTGCTAGCCCTATGCCCAACCTTCCCTCTTTACCCGGGCTTAGGACCGGCTAGTAACTAGTAAACTAGTTAACCTGGCGAGGTTATGAACATCATATAGATTTAGGTAACTGTATACTCCTGGATTCCATACATTATTTAACTGACAAATAAGTAACTATTATTCTCACTAGGGTTATAAACAAGAGAAGAATATTCGAACTGATTTGTGTATAACTAGAAGCGCCAATCAAGCTTGAATGAACCAGTTATATACACAATTGGTGTTGATTATTATTTATTATTTGTCCCTTGGGTTCCTTGCGGAACATAGGGATTCAGTAGCACGCCTCCATTGCATTCTCTGCTCTGCAGTCTTCTCAACCTGGCTCAACGACTGCCTACAAGCTTTCATTTCTTCTTCACATTATCTCCTCCATGTCACTCTCGCCTCAGACGTCCAACTTGCCCTTTCCCCTTTCAATTTCACTCGACAAACTGGTGCCTTCTCAATGCATGCCAAATCCGATCCATCTCCACTTTCTTCCTCTTCTTCTTCATATTTATTGGGTGACAGGTTCTTGGTTGCTTCATTCCCAGAGTTCCTCCTCGCTCATTCTTTATGGCCATCTAATCTGATCTTCAGTATCGAGGTAGTGTAGGTGGCAGCTGTTGATGAATATCTGTAGTTTGTTGGAAGTGCTTTTCGTGACGCGCCTAGTTTCTAAACCATATAGAAGCACTGACTGACTTGACTGAATTAGTGTTGAAAATCCGGATGTTGTTCATACTTTGTGCTGAGTGCAGTAGATCTCCACACTGATTCCAGAGTAGTGAATGCTTGTCTATCTGTGTTTCCGATCCTGGCTGTTTTGACATCCTCGTCTGTGTCTGTGCCTGTGCCGCCTGTAGTTGATACGATGCCGCCTAGGTAGGTAGGTATTTGGAAAAGACTACCTCCTTGAAGTTTCCCCCCATTAATGGTGATAGGTCCCTCTTGTTGCTGATGCTGTTGTTGGTTGGGTATCTTCATCACCTCCATCTTCTCTACATTCACTTGAATCCCATTTTCGCTACCCTACCTCTTTTGTCAACTTGTTAGTTTTCGACTGTAGATCTTCAAGTTTGTGCTACAAGACATTAGATATAAATGATCCTCATTGGCGAGATCCAAATCGTGTAGGATCTTTTCTTCGTTCAAACACCTTATGCCCATCTTCTCGCTCCTCACAGTTTTCTGCTTCATGATCCACTCCAGTCGACCACAATCAGGAAGATCATGGATGATAATAGGCGGCAGCCTTCTCTTACTCCTGTCTTCACTTGAAATGCATCATTGAGCTTTCCATTATGTATCACTTGGCACGTGACGTCTTCATATGGTTGTTGAATGAGGTTGATAAAGATTTATAGTCAGTCAGAATGGAAGTATATTGCTTTCTGAATCTGACAATGTAATTCATCATCATAACTCAATGAATATGAGTTTAATTCTTTGGTGATTTCCATAAGTATATAATTCGTTATCTTTTGACCTTGAAATAATTAAGTGATACAATAATCAATAAATTTAAAATAAGTAATAATACTAATTAATATATACTGAAGTGTATGTAATGAGTCATTGTTATTTTATGAATACACTTCCAAAATATGTACTTGATCGTAAAGTTATTATAAATAATGATCATGAACATTATATAAGTGGATATAAACTTGCTAAGGCTAGCGAATTTTTTAAACGTCAACTTGTTCAATTACGTCAAAATGAATTAGAAAAGTATCATAGAAGAAAAGAACAAAACAATGAATTAGTATGTGATACACATCGTATAAGAGCTAGAAGTTTATGTGATCTTGAATGTGAACCATTGATTGTTAACTATTCAGATATTTATGGATTAGAATGTTTATTATCATATATTCATTGTAATAATAATATTTACAATAATATATTAAATAAACAAATCAATTCATCTACAGTAAATTCTATGCTTAAAACAGGCTTATACTTTCAAGTACCAAAATTTATTAATTATTGTTTACAAATAATTCAAAATGATATCAATAAAAATAATTGTTGGAATTATTGGAAATCTTCAATTGAATTAAAAGATGAACTTTTAGAATTCTATAGAATAACATCATGTTATTTATTAGCTAATTTTATAGAAGCTGGAGAAAATGAAGAATTTCTTAAGTTAAACATTGAAGATTTGAAAAAATTACTTAAAGAAGATTCTCTTAATTGTTCTAATGAAAAATTATTATTTATATTAGTTGAACGATGGATTAATTATAGACTAACAGAAAGGCAATTGTATATTTCTCAATTATTAAAATGTTTACGATTAGGTAGACTTAATGAGAAAGAATTAAATGATTTATTCACAAATCGTTTAATACAATCAGCTTGGAGTTCTTGTAATTATATTATACATATGTTAACCTTTAATCCAAATAGTTCATTAACTCTTAGATCAAGAGATGATAATGAACTTTATGCATATCTTCATAAACCACGCCTTCCATATTCTGCAATTTTTGTTATTGGTGGATGGGAAGGCAATCAAAATGATCATAATTTTAGCCCATCTAAAACAATTCAAGTGTATAATTCACGAAATGATACTTGGCATCGTATTATTTCTGATAGATTAACTCTTAATGAAGGACATGCTTATTCAGGTTGTGTTTTATATCAAACACAAATATATATTATTGGTGGCTATATATCAAGTGGACCAACACAAACTTTAAAAACTTTTGAATTAACCACTCTTACTTGGAAATTTTTATCACCTATGCATGAAAAAAGAAATTATGTGTGTACATGTATATTAGACAATGTAATTTATGCAATTGGAGGACATAATGGGAAACATCGACTTAGTTCTGTTGAACGATATAATATTGATCAAAATTATTGGTGTTTTGTTTCTCCAATGCATCAGATACGTAGTGATGCTGCAGCTGATTCACTTCATGGTCGTATATATGTTGTCGGTGGTTTTGATGGTCATCATTTCTATAATTCTGTTGAAATGTACGACCCATATACAGATCAATGGTCATTAGTAGCCCCTATGTATAATATTCGAAGTGGTGTTAGTCTTATTGTATATGGTGAGTATTTATATGCAATAGGTGGAAATGATGGACTTCAACGATTACGAACAGTTGAACGTTATAATCCAGAAACTAATCAATGGCAATTTATGCCTTCTATGATTCATCAAAGAAGTAACTTTTGTATTACTATACTAGATAATATGATATATGTTATTGGTGGTTGGAGTGATGAAAGTAATTCAACATTAGCTTTTGTTGAACGATGGTCTCCAAGTTTATCTACTCAATGGGAATCTGTTAGACAATTACATTTACCAGTGAGTGCAAATTGTTGTTGTTCTGTAAATGGATTGGAATTACTATCAAAATTTTTAATCGACCCCTAGGTGGATTGTAGATGATTAGCATACGATATATATATATATATATATATATATATATATATATATATATGTTGAACATCTACTCTTTCAAATTTCATTCTCAGAATGCGATCTCACCAAGCATAATGTTTTACTGCTAACATATTGCTTTCCCTTGTTGTATTTAATAGTCTAATATACTTCCTGTATCAATCAATAAATAAAACACCATTAGACAACTCTCAATTGGTAAAAATAACTACAAATACATCAACAACACTTGAACTGTTCCACTGTTGTGTTTCATCTTAATTCCGTATTGAATCATGTGAATCATCTTAAAAGTTTATCGTTTAACAATCTTTCTAAAAAAAAACAAACATATTTATCAATAAAACAACCATATGAACAATAATTGAAAGTGCATACATTGGATTCTGCGATTTTTAATTACTATCTAAAAATCAAAAACAAGTATTTTTCAGTTAATTACAATAAACAAAAACTTTATGATCTCAAATTTACAAATAACAAAACGTATTCCTTTTTTTTTCTTTATTACTTAAACTATATAAAAAAAAAGTGAAGTATTTGTATACTTTTAATGAGTCATGTACTTTTAAAACAGATCACTTTCAATGTTTCAATATTTTATGTTCAATTTCTTTTGTTTAATTTACTTTCCACTTACTTCTGTAGACGTTTATTTAATTTCAATTCTACTTTTGAATAATCTATTTGCCTAAATCGGATGAAAATGCTTAGTAATGGGATCATAAAGAGGAGAAGGATATTCATTATTCAATTCATTTATTTTATTTGTTGATATATATTACACAAAAACTTACTTGTTACTTTCATATATATATATATATATATATATATATATATATATAAATTCAATCAATTCTTTTTCATCATCATCATCAATATCGACATATGACCAGGCATCCCTGCTTGACAGTCCGAGTTGCCACACCTCATATGACTACATCAAGTAGAAAGGCAGTGAGGTGAAAGATGAAGACAAGAGAATGTAGTCAAAAGAAATATACAGTACGAAAAGAAAGAAAGGAAAAAATAACAAAATGGTGATAATTGGTATAGTGTTAAGGTGAAGATAATAAGTGTATGCATCTGCGCCACTGACTTCAGTTCTGAGCCATATCAACTAGAGTCTCCAACCACTGGTTCCTCTTGTCTCGTGGACACCGACTACCAAGTCTGCATCACCCCCACATGGTTCAAACCAACAGTCAGAGACTTCATACATTGGTGCCATGTTTTAGTCTGGCCACCTCGGGCCTTTTTCCAGCTTGGACCTACTTCAGCCAACATTGTGTGACGAGGCGATCGGCGACTAGACATACGTAGTACGTGTACCAACCATCTCAGTCGACGAAGATTCATAACCTCGTCAACTAATTTACCTCTACTCCCTAAAACTCTATACCTGACTTCTGCATTACTCATGTGGTGACACCACGGAATACGGCATATACTACGAAGGCAACGGTGGTCAAACAGCTGAAGCCTTCTCATGTCTTCCACCTTCAATGGCCATGTTTCACAGTCATACAGTAGAACAGACCGGACTGGTGTGCAGTGCACGCTACCCTTAATATACAGTCGGATATCACAGCGGTGCCATAGGTGGCGTACATTGGAGAAAGCCAATCGAGCCTTTCGTATCCGTGCGGAGATTATTATTAATAATAATAATTTCGATAGAAAATTCTTATTTTTGATCTGTTGAATTTTTGGTGACAAGCTTTTGTTGTGTAAAACACCTTCCGAGCATACAAATGACATAGAAGGCTTCAGTATGTAGATCTGAATGATTACAACAGCCTATTTCTTGAAAAATTCCTAACCAGTAAAATGGTTCAGTTATTTAGGTTATCGTAGGAAGTGGAGTGACCTTATTATCGCCTGCATGATCGCCCATCAGGCAAACCATGCAAACAAATAAATTTGCCTGCAACACAGCGGTCTTTACGAGGAAACCTCATTAAGATAACACATCAAAGAGCCAACACCATACTCAGGTCCAATTTTTTCTCCCTGAGAGTATGAGCTTTATGCAATACCCCACCGCAACATATCGTCACAGCTCCCTCAGTCGACTCATTCAAGAGACGGCTAGACAGTTATGTCACTTCACATGGTCTACCACGGACGTACTCAGGTAGTCACCAACCTCACTAGCCCACCCCCACCTCCCTCCTACATATCACTCACTATTTCGCTCCTTAATACACCCACATTACCTACTAATTCTTCTCCAGGAGATAGACCTGAGCTATCTATTTTTACCATTCGGGCAATTCCCACATACTTTTCTCTCTCTTACTTCTCTTCTCTACTCCCTCCTCTTCTTCTTTTTCTTCCTTTCTTTTCCCGTTTATCTACCTTTATTTTCTTTTTTCTCCTTCATCCTTTTCATTCCTTACCACTACCTTACCATCCTCTTTCAGGTACCTACACAGACAGGAGTCACGATAGTCCCCTAAACTTCTCAGCAACCCGTAACTCCCAATGACTCTACAAATTACAACTTGCTAACCCACAAAACATCCACCTCACCAAGGCTGAAAGCAAGAAAACGGAAGGGATTTCCTCATCCACTGCAGGAGGGGACTGAACTACTCGAACCAAGCCCTAAGAACTAGACGCGAGAGATCAAAAACTATCAGTTTTCTACGCTTGCACTATCAGTATTGAACATTGAATTTGTCAGTCATGTGTGTAACGAAATATGTCTGCCACCAGTCAGTAGAAAAGTTGTAAGGAAAACAAGTTTATACTTTTTATCTATAAAAATCCTCGACTTTACAGATATATATATTTTATCACATGCAAAAGAAGTTATTTTCAAATGTCAGTACTCTTTTAGCATATTCTTACATTCTGGAATGGTGGATAAGAAGTTAGAACCAATTTTGAAGACAGTATGGATCATGAACTAGCATCATTCGGAGAACCATTGAAAACCCGAGAGACCTGAACAGCTGCTTCTTCCCAATGTTGAAGTCCCCAGCAGTATACACTCATATCTCTACCCCACCAGAGACCTAACTCAGGACGTTCAGGTTTCATGGTGAACGCGTCAACCATTCAATCAATGGCCCACAGTTTCCTACTTCTGTCAATTTGCAATATAGCGTGAGCATCTGCCAAGGTCTTCAGTTGGCATCTGCTTCACTTCCGACGTGGTTTGCCACACAGGTCAGTGAGGATTTTATTTTCAAGGTACTATAGTGAAGCTAGGGTCAACTATTCAGAAATTAGGCGGATACCAACTGAAGATCTTAGTAGATAGTCGGGCTATATCACGAATTGACATGAAGAAGTAGAAAACTATGGACCGTTGGATTCTTAACCTAATAGCTGAATGGTTAAAGCGTTTGCCGAGAAAATTGAAAGTCTTGGATACAGTCTCTGGAGAGATCGGGGGTGCGTACTGCTGAAGACTCCCATGCTGAGACGAAACAGCTGTCCAGTGCTCCCAGGTTTTCGATGGTTCTCTAACTGATATCAGTCTGTGATGAACGCTACCCTAAAAATGAAGTCCCCAATAACCTCCAAACGCTTAACACTGATTATTTATTCTATGTAAGGATTAAATAATTGATGAAATACATTGTCATGTTGACTCTTTTCAGATGACCATGGTTTGGCAGATTAGTATTTTATACTGGGTGATGATTGAAGGTGAAACGAAAGTCTGGACCGCAGCTTGATGCTAACCAGCGACCACTGGGTTACCGGTGGATGTGTTATCGGTAGAACAGCAGGCCGGTAACCCGGTGGTCGCTGGTTAGAGTCCCGCAGTCCAAATTTTCATCTCGCCTTCAATCATCACCTAGTATGAAATACCCTTTGTGATGGACTAGTCATTTCAACGAACCTTACTTTCTAGATGTAAGTATTATGCTTTAATCAATTCAAAAATGTCACTGATTTATAATGTTACAATGACTATATAACTACCGAGTGTGAAAAATGCCTTCACTGTAAACTGGTTTCACTCTTCACTCTTTTCTATTTTTTATTGTACTGGAAAGAATACACTTTCTTTGTCAATGTGCAATGATAACTCAGAAATGTGTCCTAAAAAAGTAGGTTTTTACCACTAATAAGCTATCCGACTGATATTTTATCACATACTGTCACAAATAACAACAAAATATTTTATCGTGGCATTTTCACCAACATGTTAGTCCATGTGCATGAGAAATTTCGATACTAAGCATTGTACTTAATAATAGTACTGTTCTGAAACTAAATTGCAAACTAGCTTTATTAATTTTAATTAAACGATTCTACGGGAGTTCTAGGAAGCACTGTTTCAACTACAGGCAGGACGGACGAAGACGTCAAAGTCAGAATCGGAAAAGCAAGACAGGCATTCATTAGCCTGAAACCAGTGTGGAGATCTTCTGCACTCACCATGTGGAACAAGATACGGATTTTCAACACCAACGTCAAGTCAGTGCTTCTGTATGGTTCAGAGACTTGGCGCGTCACGAAAGGGATTTCCAACAATTTACAGACATTCATCAATAACTGCTTACGCTCGCTACTGAAGATCAGATGGCCAGAAAGAATAAGCAACAAGGAGCTCTGGGAACGAACCAACCAAGAACCTATCACCCAACAAATATGCAGGAGGAAGTGGAGATGGATTGGGCATGCACTGAGAAGGCCGATTGAGGACATCACGCGTCAGGCCAGTTGCTCGAGTGGAATCCCCATGGGAAGCGACGAGTTGGACGTCCGAGGGTGACATGGAGGAGGTCATGCGAGGAGGAAATGAGAGCTTATGGGCTGTCGTGGAGCCAGGTTGAAAAGATTGAAGAGAAGAGAGTGGAATGGAGACGTGCTACTGAAGCCCTATGTTCCACTCGGAACCCAAGGGACTAATAATAATAATAATATAATGGGAGTTCGGACACACACTGAGGAGACCATTTGGGGACATTATGCACCAGACCAGGTCCTCGAGTGGAACCTAAATGGGAAACGATAAGTTGGGCGTCCGAGAGTAACATGGAGGAGATTGTGTGAAGAAGAAATGAAAGCTTGTGGGCAGACGTGGAGCCAAGTTCAAAAGACTGCAGAGAAGAGAGTCAAGTGGCGAAGTGCTACTGAAGCCATATGTTTGACTAGGAACCCAAAGGACAAATAATAATATTATAATAATTGGAGTTCAAGAAACTAC